CTCGCAGCCGACGGCAGCTACAACAGTACGATTCCAATCTAAGAAAAATTACCTAAATGTCAAGATCATTCTTAGCACAATTCTCCTGTAAAAACAGCTTGATGCACATTTACGTTGAGTATTATATTGTATGCAAATAGTTTCAATATGTATGATTATCATCGTCCTTCAAAATCTTCTGTCCCTTCATTCGTCGGAGGACCTGCAAGTAGGCATACAAGATCGTTTTATAACCTTTTTAAACAAATCACTTTTTTTATCTGACCTAGGTGAAGGGGGGTCAGCCTACTTCCTGTCCCAAGGTGAAGGGAGGGTGAGCCAAATTTTCACCCTATCGCATGTATGCACGTCAGTAGGCTTTAGATAAGTGGTCTCAAGAGAAATTGGAGTTTCGGAACGTATGTAGATTACACATGACTTCTTTTCAGAAAATTTCAGGGAAGTTTCGATGAATTTACTTCAAAGGCGAAGTTAACATTGTTATAGATCGACTCAAAGCAAAGTTGATCGATTTGTTGAGAAGTACATCACAGTGATTTGTGAAACTGAAGAGTTTCTTGGACTTTCTGTTGATGAGCTTTGTGAAATATTAGCAATTGATGAATTGTACGCTGAGGAAGGAATGTTGTGCAAGGCAGCAGTGAGATGGATCGAACATGATCGTGACTGTAGAGGAGAATTCCTATCCAGGTAATATTAAATGATTGAATCAGCTGCATAGTACATGCTTCCTTCCATTTGTTCTCATTTCTGGTTTACAGGATCTTGACATGTATCCGCCTTCTTTCTTTGGATCCGTCTTACCTAGTCACTGAACTTGCTCGTCATCCTTTGATTGTCAATGATTTGCAGTGCAAAACCCTTGTAAGTGTTTCCTAAGTGAAATTACAACAATATCCGCCAATGGTTATTAGTGAATTAATGAAAGATCCTTTTGTTCTACCTTTTCTGCTGAAACTCTTGATTGTCATCACCTTGTTAAACTGCAGTCGTTCAGTGGAGTTTACATGGCACTTTGTTTCGTCTTTTATAATATTCCCGAAGGGTCACCGC